AGCAGCAGACGATGAGGGCCACGAGGAAGAGACCCAGCCCCTCGATGCTCGCCTTGAATGTCAGCACCAGCACTTGCAAACCAACCGAATGTTTCGTCAATTTGAAAACTCGAATGAGTCGAATAACTCGCAGGAAAGCCAGAGATGCACTGGATTTAGCGCTGGAACAACTCATGGTGGAGATGACGTTGACAAATGTGATGTAGTAGGGGATGATGGCTGTCACGTCAACGATGTTCTTGAAATCTTTTATGAAACGAAATTTGTTAGGAGAAGAAATGAACCTGATGACAACTTCAGCAGTGAACCAGAGAGTGCACGTAGTTTCGATTATGAAGAATGGATCGAGAAAGTTTGGCGCTTCATCAGCGACGCAGTGCGTGTCGGAGAAGGCCGGCAACGTTTCAACGCAGAACAGAATGATAGAGACCAACGTCATTATTACGGACACCAGAGCCACGACGAAGGCCGCCCTACTCGTTTCAGGATACTCAAACAGCATCCAGAGGTATTTCAATATTTTATTCTTCGGGACCTCAATGTCGTCGCTGGTGTACCCTTCTCCTCGCTTGTACTCCTCGACAACATCCGACTCCAGCTCGTAGAACATGAGCTCCGATAGAAAAATGTCATCGTGCACGTGGTGAGGTCTCTTCAGCTTTCCACCGTATTGGTAGTAACTGAAGATGGCCTCGAAACTTGGTCGGTGTCGGTCAAGAAATATTTCATCCCTGGTGTGGTCGTAGTAGAGCTGCCTCTTGCGCGGGTTGCCGAGCAGAGTGTCTGGATGTTTGTCGAGGATGGATGCTCGAGTTTCAAAAAAGTGGCCGCTGACGTTGATGCGGATGCGTTCGCAGCCACACCGTCCCGAGCCGGATGAGGAATCTTGCTCCAGTTGTCGCCTCAATGTTTCCGTCGTCAGTGATTTTTTGCGTCGCCATTTTGCGAGAGATATGCTGGCTCGTTTTGCTCTTAAAAATAAATTGAAAGCGCTGTTCGGTTGTTGTTGCTGTTGTTGTTTTGGCGGCGAGGAAGGTGTCTTGAAAGAGTTGGAGGTTGTTGCGATGGAGTTGTGACGAGACAATTTGTTGCTGAGGTTGTGATAGCGACAGCTGGCAGATCGTTTGCAGCCTTGAAGGTCAGGTCTAATAGGTCGCGGCGTTGAAAAGTACATGTTGTCGTTTTCTTGCGACTCAAATTCTACATCTGTTGAAAAATGTGCTTGCTGCTGAAACCGTTTTTGTCGTCGTAGTTGCTGTGGTTGTGGTGGTTGCTGCAGGGATTGCTGCTGGTGAAACTTCAATCGTTGTTGAATATCGCGCGTGGGTTGTTGCTGTTGCTGAAATTGATGTTGCTGTGAAAACTCTTGAAACTCATCATCCTTCTCGTATTCAAGTAGACGTTGTCGTTGAGCAAAATTTTCATTATCCGAATCAGTGAGATACTCGCTGGCTTGGTTGTTGTTGCAAATGACCATGTCTTCATTGAACGTGTCGTCAACGTTGTTGTAGTTGCTCGTGAGGTCGTTGTATATACTCGAGATGTCTGTGTAGCAGCTACTACTCGTCGTTGTCGCCGCGGTCGTAGCTGCAACAGCAGAGTTTTTGTTGTTTTTACATTTGTTGTTGTTGGCGAATATTCTTGGTCTCAACTCGCTCAACATTGTTGGCGTTTCATTCAAATTTCGTCTGTCGTGTCTTTTGTTGAAGTTGTTGTTATCGTTTTTGTTGTTGTTGCTGTTGAATGTTGATGTTAGTGTAAATGTGGTCATCTCGTTGTTGCTGTTGTTGTTGTGGTTGTTGTTGATGATGTTGTTGATGATGAGGATGTTGTTGTTGTTGATGATGACGTCATCGTTAGCAGCGAAATTTTTTATTCTAGCATCACACGAAATTATCCAGATATAACAAAAATGAAAATCCGATCAATCAAAAAACTTCAATTTTCCAGAAGATTTTATTGAATCACGAAAAACGCTAATAAATAAATATATTATAAAACCAAATGATGTTAATAATAATAATAATAATAAATAATAATAATAATTCTTATTATTCTTATTCTTGTAACCTAAATATCAGGTATATAATTAATCCGACTGGTTATGCCTTTTAAATTGTGTAGGTGATAAAAAAACTTAACATTGTTTCATATCAAGTTAAAAAAATAGTATTATTATTATTAATAATATTGTTGTTGTTTTTTTTGTTGTTATTATTATATTATTATTAATATTATTTTTATCATTATTCTTATTATAACTATTACAACAACAACGTATAACTAATTTGGCCCTTAATAAAATTGCTATTATCGATAATTAATTCTCGAATTAATTTTTTAATTATTAAATAAATTTTATAAATAAACTAATTTCTAATCTATAATTTTACATAAAATCTGAAAGAATTTGGTATTAAACTTATACCACTTGCTAGGTTTTCTTCAACAGGCTATACTTGCATGTATGCATGTATGCATGCATACATGCATACATGCATGCATGCATACACACATACATACATGCATCGTATATTCATTAGCATTGTTAATTTTATGGTTATAATATTTGTCAGCGAGTAGATTGATGAATGAATTAGTAAATGGATGAATGAATAAACGAACGAATGAATATGAAAATGAACACATGGATGTTTGGATGGATGAATAATTGAATGAATGCATAACGACGTGATTGGATAAATGAATGATTGAATGGTGGATTGATTTTCCGATAGGATTGAATGAATGGGTGAAAAACAGATAAATGTATAAAAATCCTGATGAATGACAGATGAATGGAATGATGAAAGAGAAAAGGAGTGAGTGAGCGAGCAAAAAAAAGATAAAAGAGAAAAAGCCATCTAGCGGTGAAGGAATAAATTCATTTGGCATCTTTGTGTTTGTCCTCTTCTTCTGCTATTTCATTCATTCTCTTATTTGTTTTACGGTCATTCGTTCTTCTATTAATTTATTTGTTTTACATTCATTCATTCATTCATTTGTTTTAAATTCATTCTTTCATTCATTTGTTTTACTTTCATTCATTCATTTTTTTCACGTTCATTCATTCGTTTAATCATTCAAATTTTCGTCCATCTTTCATTAATTGATTAACTTTCATTCGTTTGTTTATTGGTTCATATATTATTATTGTTATTATTATTGTTGTTGTTGTTGTTGTTATAGTTTCTTTAGTCCTATTTATTTGCTCATGGCTGTCTTAAAAAATCATAAGTCGTTTTTTAGGTACTTGTATGTGCGTGCGTGTGTGTGTGTTAAAACGTGCGTGTGTGATATGTGCGTGTACGTGTGTGTGTACGTGTGAATATATATATATATATATATATATATATATATGTGTGTGTGTGTGTGTGTGTGTGTGATG